GAGGAGGCCCGGGGTGAGGAGGAGGGCCAGCGGGGAGGAGGCCCGGGGGAGGAGGGCCAGCAGGGAGGAGGCCCGGGGGAGGAGGCCCCGGGGATGAGGAGGCCCGGGGGGAGGAGGAGGGCCAGCGGGGAGGAGGCCCAGGGGAGGAGGCCTGGGGGAGGAGGAGGCCCGGGGTGAGGAGGAGGGCCAGCGGGGAGGAGGCCCGGGTGAGGAGGAGGGCCAGCGGGGAGGAGGCCCGGGTGAGGAGGAGGGCCAGCAGGGAGGCGACTGCAGTTGTCCAGCTGGTGGATACTGCGGGCAGCCATGACAGAAGCAGACAAGTCTGAGATGCACGCAGAGGGTTCCATCTACAGGACACCCTGGGGGGTCAGAGAATGGGGTGCAGAGACTGCCCCCAGGTTTCTGGCCTATGGAGCTGCCTGGCTGGGGGAGGCAATACCAGCAGAGGACCCGATCTGGGTGACGATCACAAGCTTTGTCCCAGACACGTGGGGTGTGAAATACCTCTGAGCCATCCCAGAGATGGTGGGTCAGCGGCTGGGCACGTGGCCCTGGAGCCCCGAGCCTTCTGTGTGATAACGTGGGGTCTGTGTGTGAGGGCTCCTCCCACCTGGTGAACGGATATCCCCGTTTCCCTCCCCAGAATGAGCGAGAACAGATCATGACCACCAATGTCTGGCTGAAACAGGTAAGTGTCCTGCAGGGTCCCCAGCCCAGGAGGCATTTCTTCCAGGGCCACCCCCTTGGTGGCTACGGGCCTCCAACTTACAGGGCCGTGCCTGTCTGCTCAGGAGTGGACCGACTACCGCCTGGCCTGGAACAGCTCCCGCTATGAAGGCGTGAACATCCTGAGGATCCCTGCAAAGCGCATCTGGCTGCCAGACATTGTGCTTTACAACAAGTGAGTGGCAGGGTTGGCCGAGGAGGTGAGAGCCAGGTCAGGGCAGCAGGCCTGGACTCTAGGGGTCCTTGGGTCCTGAGGCCAGCCCTGGGCCTCATCTGTGCTTCACTCAGACCTCCAGGCGGTCAGGCTGGAAAAGGAAATGGGCAGACCCAGCACCCTCCACGGCAGGTGGGGCATTGGAGGCCCGGAGAAGCGGGGAGAGCCTCACTCACTCATTCGGGCACAGCTGGGCCCAGAGCCAGCGTCTGGACCCTGAATCCAGTGCTCTTTCTGGTCTCCATCCTATCTTGTTGGCCCTCAGATGCTCTGTCAGTGTTGGGTGTTGGTAGCATCAATATCTTGGGTGGGTGGAGGAAGCGAGAGGGTCTCGTGGGGTCACAGTGTTCCCAGCAGAAGCATGAACCAAGTTCAGGTCCCGCTGGACTGCTTCCTAGTTTTCTGACCTTTAAGAAGTCACTGAACCTCTCTGAGCCTCGGTGTCCCCATCTGTAAAATGCGGATCCTAGGAAAACCCTCCTCCGATGACTGTGAGGCACACGTGAGCTCATCCGTGTGAAGGGCGCTCTGTGCCACGTGGGGGCCACAGGAAGTTGGCCTTTTCAGGGAGGGCGCCAGGGGCTGGAAGGATGGCCGCTGAGAAACGATCCCGAGGGCTCGCTGGCAAGTCCCCCATGTTCTCTTCTCCATGCCTCTAGCGCTGATGGAACCTACGAGGTGTCTCTCTACACCAACGTGGTGGTCCGCTCCAACGGCAGCATCTTCTGGCTGCCGCCCGCCATCTACAAGAGCGCCTGCAAGATCGAGGTAAAGCACTTCCCATTCGACCAGCAGAACTGCACCCTCAAGTTCCGCTCCTGGACCTACGACCACACGGAGATCGACATGGTGCTCAAGTCCCCCACGGCCAGCATGGACGACTTCACCCCCAGCGGCGAGTGGGACATCGTGGCGCTGCCCGGCCGGCGGACCGTGAACCCGCAGGACCCCAGCTACGTGGACGTGACCTACGACTTCATCATCCGCCGCAAGCCACTCTTCTACACCATCAACCTCATCATCCCCTGCGTGCTCATCACCTCGCTGGCCATCCTCGTGTTCTACCTGCCGTCCGACTGCGGCGAGAAGATGACGCTGTGCATCTCCGTGCTGCTGGCGCTCACCGTCTTCCTGCTGCTCATCTCCAAGATCGTGCCGCCCACCTCCCTGGACGTGCCGCTCATCGGCAAGTACCTCATGTTCACCATGGTGCTCGTCACCTTCTCCATCGTCACCAGCGTGTGCGTGCTCAACGTGCACCACCGCTCGCCCAGCACGCACACCATGGCGCCCTGGGTCCGGCGCTGCTTCCTACACAAGCTGCCCACCTTCCTCTTCATGAAGCGCCCGGACAGCAGCCCCTCGAGGACCCCCCAGCGCTGCCAGCCTCGCCCGACCCGGTCCGAGGCTACCTCCGCCTCAGCCGTGGGTCCAGCCAGCGCCCCCAACCTCTATGGGAGCTCCATGTACTTTGTGAATCCTGCCTCTGCAGCCCCCAGGTCCCCGGCCGGCTCCGGGTCCGGCTCCAATGCGGCGGGCACAGCCCGGGGTTTCCGGCTGAGGTCTTCTGGGAGGTTCCAGCAGGATGTGCAGGACGCATTAGAGGGCGTCAGCTTCATTGCCCAGCACATGAGGAGTGATGACCAAGATCAGAGTGTAAGTCCCCAGCCCCGTCCCCGCCCCACTGCCCGCAGTTCACTCACGGGACAGAGCGCCCAGACCCTTGGCTGGAGCGTGGAACCCAGAACTGAACTGTTTTGTTGTAGCTCCAGGCATCAGGGAAGAGGAAGGAAGTACCAAGGACCCATTTTTTGTTTGTCTTGGGGTCCCCAAAAGCAGCCCTGAGTTGAGGGCCCAGGCAAAGGCAGTTCACCTGCAGAGTGAGCTCAGGAAGCTCAGGGAGGGCCCCGGGGAGACCAGGGAAGGGAGAGCAGGCTGCCCATGACTGCCATGGGCTCTGGGGGCTCTGAGGATGCAGGGAAGCACACACCCCTCGGCTCCCACCCCCGGGGCGGAGGGTGGCCCCGGGCAGTCCCTCCCCAGCTCGTCCAGCCTCACGCTGGGGCAGAGGAGGGGGGAGCCACGGGAGCCACAGACACCCCGAGCTGGTGGCTGTCACTGGGCTGGAAGGGAACCTCAGTCTTGGGGACGAGGGTGGTCCGGGCACCGAGGGCACCTGCTCCCCTTGCCCCCCAGCTTGCCAACAAGCCACACAAACAGGACACCTTTGGGGAGTACAGAAAAGCAGTTAGAACGTCACTGCTGGTACGGTGATAATGTGATGACAGATTTGCAAAGAGAGGTTACGTTTACTGTCACAGGACAAAGCCAGGGGCGCTAATGGAGAGGGTCTCCCAGGCCTCGCAGGCCAGGCTGGTGGTAACTGAACGCAGAGCAGGACGTGTCTGCACCAGGCAGGAGGGCTGCTGAGTCACGGTGCTGCGAATGCTCTCATTTCAACACCTTACAGAGCAGACCCCCTGCCCGGCGGCCTGCAGCTGTGGGGGAGAAGGAGGGCACAGCCTCGTGCTCACCTTGCACTGACCGCCTTCTCAGGGGAAAGCACGGGTTTCCGTTAGTTGGAGGGACAGAAGCAGGCTGCAAAAGCTCCAGCACCACCCCATGAAAGAGGAAGAGCACGTAACCAACGGGACGTGGGACGGGAGCTCCTCGGAGCGCGGCCAGGGCCAGCAGTGGCGCCGGTTAGAAATGCAGCCCGGCCTGGCCTGCACTGGACTCAGTCTGCATTTTCAGCAGACCTCACGTCACAGTCCAGCTCGAGAAGCACAGCTCTAGAAGACCATCAGATTTCACTTCTGGTTGTGCTTTCTTTCTTTCAAAACCATCCAGCAGCTCGGCATCAGCTAATCCCCTGGGTCCCAGATGCTGATACACAGCACAGGGCCCTGCTGGCTACAGGGAACCCCTGGGTAACTGTTCATGGTCCGGCTCTGGGGCCACAAGGGCCGCGTTCTGAGTGAGCCCAGGCCTCGCTGGGAGGCCCCCTGAGCCTGCACCTGTAACCCCTCCCCCGGTGCTCCGTGCACACAGTCAGGCTGAGAAGCCTGGTGTCCGTGCTCCTGGCTGAGCCGCCACCCGCCCTGAGCGCCCTCTTCTAAAGGTCCCCCCGCCCCGTGACACTCACATGCCTCCCGCCATTTCTAATTCAATTAAGCAAAAGCCTCTTGCGGGGAGCAACCAGGCGGGGTCCCCCATTATTACAATCACCATTTCCCTGAGCTCCGAGTACACGCTGGGTGCTCTGCCAGGACCAGACCTACATCACTGCCAACCCCCCCAGGAACCATGGCAAGAGGCATGTACGCAAACCCCACTCCACGTCGGGGAGCGCGAGGCTCAGAGACGCGCGCTGCCTGGCCCGGGGCCACACAGCTGGTACAGACCAGAGCAGATCTCTGCTGTCCTCACACTTCCCTGCCTGCCTTGAGCGCACGCTGGCCACCTTCCTCCAGCCTGGTTTGCCCCCTTCCGAGCACAGACCCAGGCTGCGGCTCATCTTCAGCACCCCCCCATTAACTGGTCGCTGTAAATAGCAAATATAAAAAGAGGGGAAAAGTCACACACACCAAAAATACAGTCGTCTTAAACGAGGGCTGTCAACATGAAACCCCAGAGAGCCAAGCAGAGGCCGCACGGGGCGCAGGCTGCATGGGGCCTGCCGGTCCTGGGGGGTGGGGGGGCCACCTGACACGGGATCGCCCTGGAGGGGCCCTGACAAACTGGGTCACTGACGTCGCCTCCTCCGCTGCTGCCCAAATTTCCAAGCCCAGAGCCTCTGCTGAGTTCAGGTCAGGCCACTCTCCAGCGGGGAACACAGGCAGAGGCGTCAGACGGGCCTGGGGTCAGGGGTGGGGTGGGGGGCGACAGCCTGGGGTGCCCATGGAAGCTCTGGGAAGTGGGGGCAGGGGGAGGTGACGAAGCCAAGGGAGGCCGGTCTCCGTCCACAGTGTTAGGGAACTGAGTGGATTCCACAGCCAGGTTTCCAGGTGTCCTGCCCCCCACACAGCGAGGTGGGCCCCAAATCTTCCTTTGGGCAGAGCTCAGGCAGGAGGCTGGGGCTCAAAGTAAGAGAAGGGGACTCGCCATGATGTGGTTCTCCAGTCACACTGCTCGGTATCAGTGGTATTACTATTACTAACCCTTCCTTCTGTAGCTTCTGTCCTGCCGGTGCCTGTGGGCGGGGTGGGGGGGAGTCCTGCAATGCTGCAGCTGGGGGGTGGCCACACCAGCCTGGGGGCTCCCTGGTCCACAGCGAGGGCCCCACATGGGGGAAGGAGACCAGGGAGGTCCGGGTGCCCCTAACGGCCGCTCTGTCTGCCTGCAGGTCGTCGAGGACTGGAAGTACGTGGCCATGGTGGTCGACCGGCTGTTCCTGTGGGTGTTTGTGGTTGTGTGTGTGCTCGGCACCGTGGGGCTCTTCCTACCTCCCCTCTTCCAGACCCACACACCCTCCGAGGGGTCCTAGTCTGCCCTGCCTGCCCAAGGGCCCCGGGGCTGCAGGGTGAGAGGACCCGAGTTCCTCGGCCGTCAACCCTGTCAAACAAACAGCCACAGCTGGGGGAGGACAGGACGGAAGCAGGGGGCTGCCCACGCTGAAGGGAAGCCCAGCAGCAGGGGCTTCAGACAGAGTGACTCCGGCCAGTCTCCTTCCCTGCACTGGAGAGAAGGACGTGCCCAGAATCCTGCCCACATCCCGGCCCCACTGTCACCCCACTGCCCTCCGCTCCCCAGTCTTCTCTCAGACCCGCACACGCTTCAGGACGCTTTCCAGCTCGAAGCCTCTGCATTGGCTGCACCTTCATCCCCCAGTGCCCCCCATGCTCCCGCAGTGGCTGCAGCATCCAGTGCATCCTCTGTCCCCATGTCATGTCCCCGTCAGGCCTTCCCCAGTCACCCCGCCTTCCTCCAGCCCTCCTGGGGACCGGAATTCTCACTTGGTAGTGTGTCTCTTGTCCACAGCTCAGCCACTCCACTGTGAGCTCTGGGACAGCAGGAACCTGGTTCTTCAAGTTCGCTGCACAACCCCAGGGCCTAGGACAGCGCTTGGCACACAGCAGGTGCTTAATAAATGTTGAATGAATGAATGAATGAATGACTCCTGTTCCTTCTTCAAGCTCAGATGCCCCCTCCCAGCAGCCGTCCCTGGCTCCCCTTCTGATAGAAGGACCCTCTCCGCCATGCTCCACAGCCCTGGACACCTGTTTCAGACCCAGGCCAGGCTGAGCTGTCCCCTCACCGATGCTCTGATTGGTCCTTCTGCTGGTTTTGCCCAGTGCCTGGCATGTGATAGGCTCTTAAAATACTTGGGCAATAGAGGACTTTTTAAAATTCTGTTTTTTTAATCATACAATAGAACTGACTTTTTGTGTATCATTCTCTGAATGTTAACACGTGCAGATTTGTGTCATCAGGACACAGGAGAGCCTGATCACCCAAACACCTCCCTCCTGGCCAGTCCCTGGCAACCACTGAGGGCCTCCCCACCACCTGGTCTTCTCCAGGTGCCATGTCCATGAACCACACAGTGTGCAACCTCCAGAGAGTGGGCAACTCTTGTCCCTAACATAATGCCCTTGAGATCACCCGTGTCGGTACAGGCACCAATTCTGTCTCTTGCTGAGCAGTAAGTAGTCTGTCCTGTGGACGCGGACGCACACCGAGGTAGTGACCAGTTAGATGCGAATAGAGCTGCTATAAAACGTTCACGTCTATGGGATTTTGTGTGAACAAGAGTTTTCACCCCTCTAGATAAACGCCCAGGAGTGTGATCGCTGGGTTACGTGGAGAATGGCTGTTTAACTTCCAGGACATGGTCAGATGGGGCTCTGGAGCCCCCATACCACCCTGCATCCCCCCACGCAAGGTAGGAGAGAGACCACTGCTCTGGGTCCCTATCTGCACTTGGTAGGGATGTATCTTAGCCATCCCAGTGGGTGCAAAGTGCTGTATCCGCCAGCTCTTAATTTGCTTTTCCCTAACTGCTAACGATATTGAACATCTTTTCATGTGATTTTTTTTTTTTTTGCTTACGTACAGCCTATTTGGTGAGGTGTCTGTTTAACTCTTTTGCTCATTCTTTAAATTGGGTTTTAGTTTTTTTACTATTGAGATTTTAAAAACAACTTTACTAAGGTATAACATACATAGTATAAAATTCGTCCATTTTACGTGTACAATTCAACGAGTTTTAGTAAATTTATCACTATAATCCAGTTTTAGAACACTTGCATCACCCCCCACAAGACCACCTATCTATTCTGACTTCTGAGTTTTCAGGGTTCTTTATATCCTCGGGGGGGGGGTGGGGCGGGGAGGGAGGCAGGGCCGTCGGCCTAGGTGCAGATGCGGGCTGACAGAGGAGGGTCGGCCAGCCACCGGCCGGAGCGCAGGAGCCCCTCCCACGGCTCCATTTCGGAGCCTCATTTCTTTGAGTTTCTTTTTACTTGTTATCAGGGAGCATTTCAAACTTATCCTAAGTAGCGCGGTCTAGCAAACCCGCAGGTCCTCCTCCAGCCTCAAGTACCCACTGGCGGCGGACCCCGTTTCCACCGACTCCAGCTCTCCCCGCCCCCGCAAACTACAAGGAAAACACGATCCCGCAATCACATCATCACATCTGGGACACTTCGCACTTACTCAGCGGCTTCAGGATCCCAAGGCCTTCGGAGGGTGTGTCGGAGCCTCTCCCGCGGCCCGGCGGTCCCGAGGTCCCCGAGCGCGGGGGACGCGGGACGGATAAAGCCACCTCTCTTCCCCAGCCCCTCGTGGTCCAGGGAGCAGGACCCCCGCGGGAGGGAGGCTGCGCCCGCCCCGCACGCCCCGCACGCTCCGCCTCCGCCTCCGCCTCCGCCTCCGCCTCCGCCTCCGCCCCCGCCGAGCGCAGCCCGCCGAGCCTCGGGCGCCCCCACCGGCGGGAGGGGCCAGCGTCCGGCTCCGCGCCCCGCGCCCCGGCGTCCGGCTCTGCGCGGGCGGGCTGTGCCGGGAGTCGCCGCCGAGTCCGCCTGCGCCTTGGCCGCGCGCCCCCCGCGACCATGGGCGCCCACCCGCGCCGAGCCGGGGTCGCGGGGCTCCCGCTGCTGCTGCCGTTGCTGGTGCTGCCGCCAGGTACGGGCGCGGGGCCTGAGGGACGGGCGGGGGGCGCAGAGAAGGGGGGCCCGCCGGGCCGGGGAGCCCCGTTGCCCCTCCGGCCACCCCTCCACCCCGAGTTGTCTGGGCGCGAGCAGAGAGGGCCCGGGGTTGCGGGGTCGGCACCCTGATCGTCGGTTCCACGGTCTGCGTCCCGCACCCTCCCCTACTCGTTCTAGGAATAGATGGGGAACTGAGGCCGGTGCCACCTACGGGAGGGGGGCACCGCTGGGAGGCTGGGGGCAGGCGCGCCCGCCGCTCCCCGCGCGCTCGCCTCTCCGCGCCACAGGCCGCGCCTCGGGCAGGGTCTGGGGAGGAGCCCGCTGGGCAGGAGGCCTGCGGGCGGCCGGGAGGGCGGGCAGATGCCCAGGGGCCGGGGGTTTGTCAGGGCTGCAAGGGGAGTCTGACGGGGGGAGTGCCGCTTCTGTCCCCTTGATGCTGAGGACCCCAGCACTCAGAGTTCCTGAGCTCCTCAGCAGCCCCTGACTGTGGCCCCTGCTGTGTTTGGGAGGGGGCAGCAGGCAAGACCCTATTTCAGGGCGCAGGCAAGTTGGGTTAGACTTCCCCGAGGATTCCCCTCATCCCCTTCCCACCTGTCCTCAGACCTGTAAGTGGGAAGGGCAGAGGGCTGACTCAAGTCGCCTGGGTGTGGCTTGGGAACAAAGGGGGTTCTCCCCCCTTTCAGGGAGGCTTGACCAGGCTGGAAAAAGAGACTGAGCAGGAACCATGCATGGGTCTCACTCCAAGATCATGGGAGCCAAATACACACCCAGCTTCTCAGAGGGTTGGTGGCCAAACCCCTACGGGGTCCTGGGTGGGCTGCAGTCTCCTACAGGCTGGGAGGCAGAACCCCTGGCCCCCCCGATGGCCCAGGGTGGCCCCGGGTGGCCCTGCCCCAGGAGCCCACTGGCCATCTCTCCGTCATGGAAGTAGCAGGCTGACTGCGTTTGCACCAACCCCACCCTGTGTTAACACTGGAGGTGAGGGTAGTTGGTGAGCTCTTCCCTATGCTAGCCTGAGAAGCAGCTCACTTACTGCAGCCCTGCGGGTGGATGCAGATATAATGGATGCTTCTACGGGTAAAGAAAGTCAGGTTCAGAGAGGTTAAACCCCTTGCCCGAGCTCACACAGCTGACAAGCAGTTTGGCAGGATTTGCACCAGATAGATCTCTCCCAACTCCAGCCCGGGCTTGTAACCATAGTTTCTCCCTGGATGTGTGTGACCTCGTGTGTCTGGCGGGCCTCAGTTTCCCAGCCTGTAACTCGCACTGCAGAGTCCCCACAGCAAGCGATGAGGGGGCTATGGGCGGGCGGTGTCCCTGGCCAGGGGAAACGTGATGCTTCCTCCCCTCAGTGGCCGTGGCCTCCGAGGCTGAGCACCGTCTGTTTGAGCGGCTGTTCGAGGATTACAACGAGATCATCCGGCCTGTGGCCAACGTGTCGGACCCAGTCATCATCCAGTTTGAAGTGTCCATGTCTCAGCTGGTGAAGGTGGTGAGTGCGGGAGCCGCGAGCCGGGGTGTGGGGAACGGGGCTTCTGGAAGAGCCTTTCCCAGAACCAGCCTGGTGTTTGTATTCACGTGACCACTCTCCTCTCTCCATCTAGGACGAAGTCAATCAGATCATGGAGACCAACCTGTGGCTCAAGCAAGTGAGTGAGTGGACCCTGGGCACTGCTGCCCCCTGGTGGTGGCTGCTGTCTCTACTCCCAAAGATGGGGTCAGCCCCCCTGGAAGTTGGACCCTCAAGTCACACATGACAGGTTGCCGCCTAGAGGGAGAGACCTCCACAGTCATGCGGCACCGGGGACAGACCTGGGCCTGGAGCCCACCCCCAACTGGGCTGGTGCCGAGGCCACCTCCTTCCCTTCTGGCCAAAAATCCGTCCTTCAGTTAGATCAGATGCTGTTTTCTTTGGCAGAGTGGGAGCAGGGGCTCCAGACTTTCCTGTTCAGATTGAGGCCAAAGACACCGGCTTCCATGGGCCCCCATCCCCCAGGGAGGCTTTGTCCAGCCCTGGACAGATAACTCCCTGGATTATTGTGACCATCTGCTGGCCCACGCAGCCTTTCCGTTCCCCAGAGGCTGGGGAGCCAGGAGGGTACGGGTCCTGTTGTGCACCTGCTCCCATCCCCCAGTGTCTGCTGCTACATGATTCTCGGGCCCCAGTGGGGTCCTGGCTCCTTCCCCAGAACCTTCAGTCACCAACCCCGCTTAACCTGGAGGTGGAGGAGGGTTGTGTGTCATCAGCACCCCATTCTTGGGGCTGGGGGGCAGGACAGGTGTGGGGAAGCTCCTGGAGAGCCGTCTCAGGACGTAAACAGCAAGCACATAAGGCATGCAGCTGGCCTGCACTAGTGGGGATCCCCATTGGTCGGTGCAGGGTGGCTGGCCCCGCTGCAGAGGCAGCCCGGCACGGTCTCCCCCACGGGCTCAGAGGTGCGGGCTTCCACAGGACCGGTGACGTCAAGGAAGGAGACCGTGCAGGTCCTTCTGCTGACTCCCACTCTCTCCCTGCTCCTCTCCCCAGATCTGGAATGACTACAAGCTGAAGTGGAACCCCTCTGACTACGATGGGGCAGAGTTCATGCGCGTCCCCGCGCAGAAGATCTGGAAGCCAGACATCGTGCTGTACAACAAGTAAGCGCGGGGTAGGCCCTGCCCCGACTGCATCCAAGGGGGCTTCACGGATTCGTGACTTCCACAGGGATTTACTGAGCACCTACTGTGTGCCACGTGCCGGAGATCCCCACCCTGACCCCAGGGGATGCAGGCAGGAACCGTAACCTCCAAGTGTGCAGTTGGGACCCCGAGGGGTGGCCAGGGAGGGGACGCGACCTTCCCCGGAGGTCGGGACCCAGGGGAGCTTCACTCTCCGCCCCTGATGAGGCGGGCCCACAGTTGCATGCAGCCTCTCCTGTCTCACTGGTTCTCCACCTGCCCATCATGGCGCCTCCAAAACTGGCCTCTTTCCCAAAACCTGACGCTTTCCACAGTGAAGCTCTGTTACTGGCCAAATGTAAATCTTAGGTGATATCTTCCAACATGTACTAGTTTTTCTCTGGAAAAACAGCACTTTTATAGCTGTGCTTTGTCTAAAGTTACCATGTTTTAATCATGCACTTTTCAGCAAAGCACTTCATATAGAATTAATCAAATCTTAACGATTCAAAGTATTCTGTGTTTAGGTTTCTTATGCCGGATGAGCACAAACTAATATGTTTCAACTACTAGGACTGAAGAAGTTATATTTTTGGCTGAGTCCCACTTCCTGGTCACTGGCTAAAAGAAGGGTCTTTAGCCACTCCAAAGATGGGCCAAGGTTTTTGTTTGTTTTTTTACTGTTTCCCGAAGGAAATACATCATTCATAAATGTTTCTTTCATGCAACTTGTATTTGTAGATTTAGTCCGCACTGGGACACAAGATAAACTTGTGGTTTGCAAAGCATGAGCATCCAGAGGCTCTTAGGGACCTAGGCAGGGCACTGAGAATTTTCGCTAAGCTAGAATTAAGAAAATGTGCAGAAATTTTAATCTCATGATATGAATATCAAGGCTGTTTTCTTGCTGGCAATCTTGGGTGAACAGCTGGAGGACTGAGGGTGTGAGTTTAACAAGACTGAGTCACAGTGAAATGCTTCACGTTGGACATGGTGAGGAGCAAATAGCATAAGGAATTCTCCCGGAATCTGGAACTGAAAATAAGTTTTAGAGGAAACCGCGCAGCTCCTATCTCCGGGTTAGAGCTGGAGTTTCTCAGGACTCGTCCCTCTGTGGAGAGTTTCTCTTCATTTGGACACATGAGACACGTCTTTGACGATCTCAGGCCAGAATTTCCCCTGTGGTTTCGGTTTTCTGAAGTTCACTCTCTAACAGGACCCTCAGAAAGCGCTCGTGGGCACAAAGTTCCCCACGTTCTTACACGTTCATAACCCACTGTAGCCTTTTTAGATAATGCTTAGCTGGATATAAAATCCTTGCCTGAGATCTTTCTCACATGAAAGTCTTAATGTTGCCTCTCTGTCCCGGGGTGAAGTGTCGTGTGAAAATCTGATGCCCGTCTAAGCAGGTGAAAACAGGTGGCTTCGGGAATAGAAAGGGGGCCGCTGGGGTATACACGCCAGGACCACGACCTGAACCAGGACGGTCTGGGCAACCCAGGAGTACAGTCCTTGCAGGGGCTGTTCCTCCGGCTCAGGTGCCTGGAGGCTTCCTCCCTTCGTCTGTCAAGTCCCCTTGTTTGTGCCGCGCGTGCACACAGGATAAGACTCGACACTGGGAAAGCTTTTTTCTGAGTCCCAGGACACGAAATTTGTCCTGCTGCTTTGGTTTTTCTCTCCGGGAACCCCGTCTGCATGTACGTTGGTGCTTCACCCACATTCTGGATTCTTCTCTGGGGTTCTCGTTTCTGTCTGATGTGGACATCAGTCCTGTCTGGGTTCGTTCCCGCGACTGCGCTTTCGACACCGTCTTGTTGCTTTTAGGCTTTGCGTCTAAGGTGGTTTTTGTTTCTTTTCCTCATTCTTTCCTCAGTTTTGCCAACTCTTGATACACCTGTTGCTCCAGCCAGGTTATTTCGCGTCTGGTTACACCGCTCCTTCCGCTTCCAGAGGTCACTTAGCGCATCTTGATCTGTACATTGGGCCGTGCCTTTCCCCGGCTCCGGGGCCGTCCTTCGGGGTGTGCGCTTCTCTGCTTGTGATTTAGGCATTCATGTTCCTACATTTCTCACACTACAGTCCTTCCTGTTGCTCTTGTGGAGATAGTGGCCTTTGCTGAACTTTGAGGACGGGCTCCCAGAGGGGACCGGGCAGGCGGGGTCTCCTTTTGCCAGCTCGAGAGCATCTGGGTCAGCGGGCCCCAGGGTTGGAGCGAGCTGCCGCTAGACACCTGCTTCTCGGTCTGTAAACCTTCTTCCTTCTCTCCTCAACCTGCTTCCGACCCTGTTTAACTTGGGTCCTACCCTAAGCAGCATTTTTCTGGGTGGGTCTGTGTCCTCCCAGGAGGGAGTTTGGGGGAGCAATGTCTGAGACCCTCGAGCCCACACCAGCCCCCATGGCCGTCCCTGCAGACCGTCCATGGACCACACCATCTTCTTGGTTCTTCCCCACAAGCAAAGCCATGAGCCCCCCATTTCCCTGCTCCCCTTGCTGAGGGTTCACCACAGAGCGGGGGCCTCTTTCTTGAGGGGCAGATGCCTCCTCGTGGTTTCTTGGTCTGGGGCTCTTGGGACACGAGAACTCCCTCTTACCCCGGCCATCACTGCTCCTGGTTGATCACCGTCCCACGCAGGCCTCCCTGGGCTTGGGCTTGGTCCCCACACGCTCCTGTTGTGAAGCTCGTTTGCCTGTAACCTGACTTCGATGATGTGCTCAGTAGGTTTTTCTTTGCTCCCTGGGTTGCCTGTCTGTCTGCTGCTGGGAATTTGGAGAGAACATTCACACCGCTCATCACCCTCGCCCCCCTGAGGCTCCGTCTCCCTGAGAGCAAGCCCCCACCCACCTTCTCTCCTCCAACGGCCTCACAGGCGGCCCAGAGCCCTCCCATTCCTGCTGGGTCTTGCTGCCCGCATCTCCTGGACGCCCCCAGAGGCTGCGACTGTTTATTATGTACGTAATGCTTACAAGGGCCCTGTCTGTGGTGGGTGCTGTGCCACCCCCCAGGGCCCAGCTGGGTCGTGGTCTTCCCTGTGTGCCGGTGGCAGAGACGGGTTACAGACACGGCCCGGTCAGCAGACAGGCCTCCAGTGCAGGCACCACCCCGGGACCAGGATCCCCAGGAACAAGCAAGAATGAGCATCACCCATCCGGGCAAACTTCACTGCAGTGTTTGGCCTTGGGGTGCACAGGGGTGGTTTAGCGACCCCCACTTGTGCCCCAAGTTCCGGTGGGTCAAGGCCCTGCCACAAACACTCCATGGGAGCCCGCGGTCTGACCGTCGGTGTCATCCGCAGGGAGGTCACTGGACTAGAGCGGTGGATGGCAAGGGCTGGGCAGTAACTATTTTAGACTTTGTGGGCCAGTCCCAGCTGTGGCCCCACTGCCCTTGTCACCAAAAACAGACACAGACAGGGTGGCTGTCTCCCAGTGGACACGTATTCACAGAGAAGGGGGCAGGCCTGTGCACCGTGTCTGGAGGTCTCTTTCCATTCCCACGTTTTGTGGACCCGGGATGCCGTGAGGAAGTTGATCTGGGGTCTTCTCAGCCGCCCGAGCAGGCCCCGCAGGTTCTTCAGGAGAATCACAGTCAGGGACACATGGGCCCTGCCCGCTCCTCATGCCTCCCGTCCGCATGGAACCAGAGCGAGAACGGAGGGCGCTGAGCGTGAATAAAGCCCGCAGGGCCCCTGTGGGACAGACAGGCCAACTGGAGGACAGGGAGGCAGTGGCCTGGGGTCTTCACACCGACGAGGGCCTGCTCCATGGAGGCACGGATGGGGGGCAGAGACCAACAAGACACATCCCTTCTGTGTCCACACGTTCTCACTAAATAACAGGGAACACCCACCGTGCAGGTGTGTCCTGTTCTCCAGCCCTCGAGGAAGACGGGCGAGGTGGCCGCTCCTTCTGCAGGGTGTGCATGCCTCCAGGGCAGAACTCGAGGAGGCCACAACTGTGACTCTCAGATGCAGGACTGGGGCCCACGGGGCTCTGTGTAGACAGTCCGGGCACGTGGAGGTGAAAGGCAGGGAGAAAATGGGGCAGATGGGGAACCAGAAGATCAAGTAACCTGTTGTGCAGGCTTTGAGAGACAAGGAATCAGAACCCATGATCGTTCAAGCAGAGCAGGGCTGGGGGTGGGGGTGGGCGCATGGGGAGACCAGGGTCCAGGCCGCGTCTGGTGTGAGCCCGACTGGCGGGGCTCCGGGTGGGGGAGTAGGCCCCCCGGTGGTCTCACGGCTCCACAGTCTGGCCTCACGCGCCTGTGGGCACCCAGTGCACACTGGAGACTGAATGAGGTGCTGACAGGTCTAAACCATAGCGGAACGAGGGGCAAATATCCCCACAGGTTTCCTGCCTCAAGGACAACATTCATCCCATTTCTTTAGAGGAGAAACAATCCCTTTCTGGCCTTTGAAAGCGTCTCAGTAAATGTCAAGGCAGAGTCATGGTTGTGGAGCGAACCAGGGATGCACCCCGGGGTGGGGGGATGCAGGCTTGGGCCACGGTGTCCCCGATGGTCAGCAGGGTGACGGCCTGGGTGACTTTCTCTGGCTCGCCCTCCTGCCGTGTGGTCTCATAAGCGGTCACTTGCACTCGCCTCCGGCGGTGTGAGATGCGGGCCCTGGTGAGTGTGTGGTCATGACCGTGTGCCGCCCACCTGTCTCTGCAGTGCTGTCGGGGACTTCCAGGTGGACGACAAGACCAAAGCTTTACTCAAGTACACAGGGGAAGTGACTTGGATCCCGCCAGCCATCTTCAAGAGCTCGTGCAAAATCGACGTGACCTACTTTCCGTTCGATTACCAGAACTGCACCATGAAGTTCGGGTCCTGGTCCTACGACAAGGCAAAAATTGACTTGGTCCTCATCGGCTCCTCCATGAACCTCAAGGACTACTGGGAGAGCGGTGAGTGGGCCATCATCAAAGCCCCCGGCTACAAGCACGACATCAAGTACAACTGCTGTGAGGAGATTTACCCTGACATCACGTACTCGCTCTACATCCGGCGCCTGCCGCTCTTCTACACCATCAACCTCATCATCCCCTGCCTGCTCATCTCCTTCCTCACGGTGCTGGTCTTCTACCTGCCCTCAGACTGCGGCGAGAAGGTGACGCTCTGCATTTCGGTGCTCCTCTCCCTGACCGTGTTTCTCCTGGTCATCACCGAGACCATCCCCTCCACCTCGCTGGTGATTCCGCTCATCGGCGAGTACTTGCTCTTCACCATGATCTTCGTCACGCTGTCCATTGTCATCACGGTCTTCGTGCTCAACGTGCACTACAGAACGCCGACCACGCACACCATGCCCACGTGGGTGAAGACCATCTTCCTGCACCTGCTTCCCAGGGTGATGTTTATGACCCGGCCAGCAGGCAGCGAGGGCCCCACCCAGAGGCCGAGGCCCTCATACAATGCAGAGCTCTCCAATCTCAACTGCTTCAGCCGCATGGAGCCAAGAGGCTGCAAGGAAGGCTGTCCCTGCCAGGATGGGACGTGCGGCCAGTGTCACCACCACAGGATGAAAATTTCAAATTTCAGTGCCAACCTCCCGAGAAGCTCCAGCTCAGAATCCATCCAGGCCGTGCTGGCCCTCTCTGCGATGTCACCGGAAGTCAGAGAAGCCATCCAGAGCGTCAGGTATATTGCCGAAAATATGAAAGCGCAAAACGAAGCCAAAGAGGTAAGGAGACGTGATTCCCTGGGGCAGACGTGTGGGGTGGGGCTGAGAGGTCCGACCCAGAGACAGCGGCTGTGCTTGGCCCAGCTCCTCCACAGACCAGGCAGGTGTCCCTGGATGTACGGCATCACCGCTCCCAGCCTGTATCCTCACACGCACAGAGCTGTGAGTGCGCCCTGGAGTCGGCCCTCGAGCCGGAGTCAGTCTGGAGATGAGCCGGGAGAGGGCGCGAGAGCAGATCACCTCCACGTAGCCCGACCCTGAGCTTACAGTCGTCACTTTACTTTCCAACTGTTTGTTTGCCCCATTTAGGTATAAAGTGCACATGTGTAACCCTGAGCCAAGTAGGGACGTGGGACATTTCCAGTGCCCCCTCCTGGTGGCCCCCTGCCCTCGGGAACCACTGATCCCGACCTCCCGGACGTCGGTTAGCTTTACCTTTCCTTGACCCCCATCTAAATGGAATTCCGTGGCACACTCCCTTCCACGTCTGACCTTTTACATCCAACAAAGTGTCCTTCCAAGACACCTGCTGCTGCCACAGCTTCTGCACATGTGGTCATTTCTAGTTTGGGCCGATTTTGAGGAAAGGTACCATCAGTATTCTTATACACATCTTCTGGTGAACATACGCACCCGTGTCCCTTGCTGATCGCTGCAAGGAGGCATTTTTAACTTTGGTGGTGGATACTGCAAGGTTCCCAAGGTGTTGGGCCAGTGACACCCCACCGCAGGCAACATTTGAGTTTCCGTGGCTGCACGCCCTCCCCCGACACATGCGAACCGTGCCTTGTGGCTGTCTTAATGAGCTTTTCCCTGCTCAGTAGCAACTCGGAATCTTTTTTGTATGCTTATTGGCCGTTTGCACATCTTCTCTCACGAAGGATCCAGGCAAACTATTTTGCTCGTTGTTTTTAATTGGGTGAACTTGTTTCCTCCACAACTCTCACACTGCACGAATGTGAAGTATTAGGAGACGTTTTACACTTAATAATATCACCTGTCTGCTGCTCCCTGACCCTCTGTTTACCCCCAAGGTTGTCCGAATCACATGTGATGATTTTATAAGAAGCTCTGCTTTCACATGAATTGGCTCTGCCTTAGGTTGCTGATTAGCAAAGAGCTAACGAATGGATCATTTCAGCTCCTGATGCGCGGTGGGTAGTTAACGTGGATAGAGAGCCACTGGAGCCTCTTTCACTCCACTCTGAATGCACAGGACAGTGGCGGAGACAGGAGGGAGCCCGCAGCCACCGCCTGGCCCGCGCCCCACCGGCCTGCACAGCTGTGAGCTTGCCACCGCCACCCCCACCGCGGTGCCTCCTGATGATCCTGTCCTTGAGCCAAAAAGTCAGGCTCACCTCTAACTCCAGCAGAAGCAGCTCCTGGAGCATAAGTACCTGATCTGTGAAAATCTCACGTCTCTAACACTGATAACATTTGCAGGCACTCTCTACCCTCTTCATCCCCCTTAAACGTAATCATTTCAGTTAGCAGAAATTTCGTAAAGATTGAGATCTAAGTATTCATAGTACTCCAGCCTCTGTCAAGCTATCAGAAATTAACTCTAGGGGCACCCGGGGGGGCTCTGTCGGTGAAGCATCTGCCTACCGCTCAGGTCATGATCTCAGGGTCCTGGGATCGAGCCCCGCGTCGGGCTCCCTGCTCCCTCTCTGCCTGCCACTCCCCCTGCTTGTGCTCTCTCACTCTCTCTCAGACTCTCAAATAAATAAATTCTTCAAAAAAAATTAACTCTATTCCAAAGTTACTAGGCACCATACAAAGTACGAGAGTTTCACAAGCATCTTTTCTACAGAAGGACACTGTTAAAAATTGTTACTTTTTAAAAGGGAAGTCACCACTGAAATGCCCAGAAGATAAATTAGTGGCAAACTAGTGGCACAAGGTTCATCTCAAGGGGCAGCCACGGCTCAGCTCTGGTCATCCGTTGCCATGGGGGCTGTGGGCCTGCTGTTAGCACTCCCATTTTTCCAGAAATAGCAGAAATCTGGCCCACGGCCTATTGGTAAGCGGGCAGCGAGAGCCAGGACAGACACTGTGCCGAGGACACACGAGCTACCTGGAGGGGCCCTCCTTCCCCTGGATCTCAGTCCACGGTTTTCCAGGGAGGCTTTCACTTCCTGGGTCCGTGGCCTGGCCTGGCCGGTTGTCGGTGCGCTCAGCCCCTCAGAACCTCACTGCAGGGCTGGGCTCCCGACCACGACTGCCCTGGCCCCCACGGCATGGGAATGCCTGGTGTCCCTGGCATGGCTTCTCCCTTTCCCGGGCTGCTCACGTGGGTCACCACGTGCTCCCGCTTGTTCTTACAGTAAAAGGTTTAGTTGTATTAATCCTGGAGCTTGGGGTCTCTTGAAAGTGCTCTTTGCTGATGGCGCCTTTCACAGCCGGTCATCCTGGGGCGGCTCCAGCGACGGCGCCCTGTTCTCAGTCTGGCCTCAGCCCAGGCCCCGGCCAGCATCTTCTGAGCTGCAGGTCCTGAGACAGCTTGTCTTGTGCTGGGTGGAGACAGACACCCACAGCGGTATCTGCATGCGCGGATGTTGTGTGCGCTGCATGGATGTATGCTCCTTCCAAAGTCAATTCTGATTGGTGACTTATTAATTCCGAGTCTTGTGGGTACTTTCCTATCAGGGCTCCATTTCTACCATCTTATTGTGTGTTTTCCATCTACCTTTCTTTCCTCCCGGAGTTCGGGCCGTGCACTGTGAAGTCTGAATCGTGGCCACTGCTTGGAAAGCCCCGTCTTCTGTTTCTGTTCATGGCTGGGAGGGAGGTGGGGGCTGTGCCTCCGTGACTCAGACCCACACGCCGGACCCACCGCATTGCCCGGCGTCCGACCCCACCGTGCTCCCCTCTACTCTTCCTGGCTGCCAGCTGCCCTGGATGTTACGGGAGCTGTGTTCTGGATCAGGGGGTTGGGGGGAGATGTGTCGCTCCTTACTCTGCTCTCAGCCTCACCGCGTGCATCCTGGGCGGTCCTCCTGCCCCTTTCTCCCTGCACCGCCATGTCTTCTCCGGGGCTTACAGTTGAACCTTCGGAGGCCTATGGGCTACAAAATCGAAAAACTCTCATTTTCAAGGGAGTTTAGCTGGATCCAAAATTCTAGAGTTGAAGTTCCTTTCCTTAAATACTTAAAAAATACTACTGGTTCGGTATCACTGATGAGAAGTTCTCAGTTAACCTGATGCTGTTTGTCTGACTGACGGATTGTGTGTAGAAGCCTCTGGAATCTGTAAACCCAGGACCTGGGTGTGCAGGTCTCTCCTAGACAGACATTCTTACCACCCGCTGCCCCCGAACTTTCCCACCTTCAGTTCTCAGGGGGTCCAGGTTTTCTGTGAAGATTTCTCCCTGTTCCTCTTTCCCTGAACTGCACACGTGTGCTTCCAGCCCCCCACCTCTCCCCTCCTGCCCTCCACCACCCACCCCTCCTCTGGGTACCTTCCTGCCCCTGCCCCCCACCCCTCCTTGTGGGTCCTCTCCTCACAGGTCTCCTCCTGCCCCCTGCCCCTCACCCCTCCTCACAGGTCCCCTCCTACCCACCACCCCCACCCCTCCTTGCAGGTCCCTTCCTGCCCCGCCCCTCCTCACGGGTCCTCTCTTGCCCCCTACCCCTCACCCCTCCTTGCAGGTCCCTTCCTGCCCCCTGCCCCCCACCCATCCTCGCGGGTCCCCTCCTGCCCCCTGCCCCTCACCCCTCCTCACGGGTCCCTTCCTGCCCCCTGCCCCTCCTCACGGGTCCTCTCTTGCCCTCTGCCCCTCACCCCTCCTTGCAGGTCCCCTCCTGCCCCCTGCCCCCCCTCATGGGTCCCGTCCTGCCCCCTGCCCCCTACCCCCTCACCCTCCTAGCAGTCCCCTGCTGCTGGCTGTCTCGTCTCTTGAGTCTTTTCCTTGACTTGTCCGTCTGACTTGGTTGTTCTGTGACCCTGCTCCTTCTACTTCGTGTTTCTGATACTCTGTGATCTCTGCAGATCTCATGTTTAGTTTAAATCCTTAACCTGTCTGCTGCGTGAATTTCCTTTCAAATGGCTAAGTCTGTGTACTGAGGTCTGAAAACTCACTTTTTCTGGGGGCGTCAGCCATCCCTGTGGATTGTGTTTGGGGAGGCGCCCACGTGGCCACAGACTGGACTAGACCACCCTTCAAAGGTGCCTCCTTCCCTCCGGGTGACCTTGCCCCACAAGGGACATCTCGATCTCCGGCTTTTCACCTCCACCAGGCTCTCGTCTGCTCACAAGGAACCCGCATCTCTGGGCAGGGAGAGGACTGGCTGCAAAGAGGCAGAGCTTTAGGGGTGAAAAGAGCACAGCCCAAAGCTGTGCCCAGCCCGCCCTCCCGAGGCCCTCCTCTGCCCGCCCCACCACACCCTGGGCCAGGTGCCACCAGCCCCTAACATACAGGCTTCTCTGGCTTCTGGGACATTCCAGGGCTGGGCTGGGAGAATGAGCCAAGAGCTTGTGCTAGTTCACTGTTTTGTCTGACGCTTCTCTGTTATCATTAGTTCCAAAGCTTCCAGAAAACATGCCATGTCATCTTGCCTTCGAGACTTTAACAGTTAGACCTAAAGTTAGTTCTCACCCCGCTCTTTGTGCGGCATATGTGTGTTCATGTGTGAGACCCAAGTCCCCTCCTTCTGCATCGGCCTAAGCCCACAAAGACCTCAGAGGAACGTCTGTAGTTGGGGAAGGGTCATGTTTTTTATCAGCGTGGATATCAATAAGTGTTGTCCATGAAGGACTGTGTGCCAGCAAGCTATCTCACTCACCCTCGGAGGTAAGTACTGTTCTTTTGCTATCTCACTCACCCTCGGAGGTAAGTACTGTTCTTTTTTATTATTCAAATTAAATTAATTAACATACAGTGTATTATTAGTTTCAGAGTTCAGTGATTCATCAGTCTCATATAACACCCAGTGCTCATTGAAAATAGAGCTACCCTACAACCCAGCAATTGCACTACTAGGTATCTACCCCAAAAAGACAAATGTAGGGATCCAAAGGGGCACCTGAACCCCAATGTTCATAGCAGCAATGTCCGCAATAGCCAAACTGTGGAAGGAGCCGACATGCCCTTCAACAGATGAATGGATGAAGAAGATGTGGTTTATATACACAATGGAATATTATTCAGCCATCAGAAAGGATGAATACTTACCGTTTGCATCAACATGGATGGAACTGGAGGGGATTACGCTGAGCGAAATAGTCAGACAAAGACAAATACCATACGATTTCACTCATATGTGGAATATAAAAAACAAAACAGGATCACAGGGGAAGGGAGGGAAAAATAGAACAAGACGAAATCAGAGAGGGAGACACACCATAGGAGACTCTTAATCACAGGAAACAAACAGGGTTGCAGGAGGGGAGGGGGTGGGGGATTAAGGAGGGTGAGTACTGTTCTTACCTGCATTTCACAGACAGAGAAATCGAGATGAAGAGAGGTCACATAATTTACCCAGATTCTCAGACTCAGGGATTGAAATCAGTGTTGTCTCCAAGTCTCTGCTTCCACCCTCTGCCTGTGACAGCCTTGGAAGGGTTCAGCCGGCTGGGGGCAGGAGGAACCACGGGGTCTAATGTGTATTTGAGGCACTTACAAACCACAGTCTCGGGAATTCAAATGAAGTACCTGGCAAACAGGGCATTACAATTCTAATTTTAGCTGAGACTCCTTAGTGTCTTCAAGAGCACACATCCACTCCAGCTCATGATGGGAAAGAAAATTCTTGTGTCCCAGCCCCATTTCAGTGCACTTAATTCAATTACTAAATCACATGCTGCCTCTTTATTATGTGATTATTTCTTCAAAATCCATTGATTCATGGGTTCTCTCTTTCTCAATTCAATTATGGTTTCCTTGCTTTCTGAGTTGTCTAGGAGTATAATTAACATACAATTCTCCTTCCTATTTCAAGCCTGAACTGAAGCTGTATTATATGCAATTAGTCTTGTTCTTTCTTCCATCTCTTACTTTGTTGTCAGCAATTACATCTGATTTCCAGCCTGTCCACGACACTTTGGCCTTATGGTTGAAGAGGATCTTTGGTTAGCTGGGCCTGGGGAGGGCTGTGGGGATGACAATGATGGCCTGGCCCTGATGTGCTGATTTCATGTGTGGAACAGATGCTAACAGGAAATTAGTATCTAAAACGGGATAAGAATAGTACTTAGAAGCAACGGTAAATGACAGTTGAATTGTATTAGCTTTTCTAACAAGGCCCAGGAGTCCTCCCTCAGGCACAAGTCAAAATTTTACTAACTTTTTAAATTAGAAATCAGTTGAGGAAAAAATAGATTATGGGGCGCCTGGTGGCTCAGTCAGTGAAGCGTCTGCCTTCAGCTCAGGTCATGATCCCAGGATCCTGGGATCAAGTCCCTCGTCAGGCTCCCTGCTCAGTGGAGAGCCTGCTTCTCCTTCTCCCTCTGCCTCTCCCCACTGCTTGTGCTTGCTCAAATAAATAAAATCTTAAAAAAGAAAAAACAGATTATGTATACATTAAGAAAAAAAATTTTTTTAAGTAAGCTCTACACCCAACATGGGGCTTGAACTCACAGCCCTGAGATCAAGAGTCGCACGTTCTACTGACTGAGCCAGCCAGGTGCCCCAAGAAATTTCTGATTTAAAACCGATTTAACGTGAATATGTTATACCTGTTTCTCGCAGGGCATAAAGAGAAACTTGGCAATAGTGGATGTCCTCAGGCTGCGTTAGGAACACGAGGTTTCTTGCATTTGGTGGCAGAATGGCTTCTGCTGCTGCAACATGTTTATTCCATGTTCCTGCTGAAAATGGGTTTCCTCCGCCTGCCCTTTGTGCATTATTTTTTCCTCTTTCCTGATGTTTGTTTTTGTTTTTCAGATTCAGGATGATTGGAAGTACGTCGCCATGGTCATCGATCGCATTTTCCTGTGGGTTTTCATCCTGGTGTGCATTCTGGGGACGGCGGGATTGTTTCTGCAGCCTCTGCTGGCGAGAGACGAGCAGTGAGCACCGCACCGGGTTTGCTGAAGGCTGACCCACATGGGCAGGGGGCGCATTTGTTTCTTCTGGTGGTAAAATACACTCACCCAGGACATGCACCGTCCTCATCACTGTTAGCCGCACCGTTCAGTGTAGGACATACACCCACCCTGTTGTGCAGCCATCACCCCCATCTCCAGACCCTCTTCATCCCGGGAAACCCGAACTCCCCAGCCCCTCCCCCCCGCACCCCCATTCCACTGTTTGCAGGATTCTAAGTCCCCCACACAAGTGGAATCATGCAGTACTCGTCTTTTCATGATTGGCTTCTTTGACCGAGCATATTGTCTTCAAGGCTCGTCTGCGTTGTAGCAGGTGTCAGAATGTCCTTCCTGTTCATGGCTGTGTGATATTCTGGTGCCTGTGTATACATTCTGCTTATCCATTCATCCGTCAGTGGACACCAGGATGGCTCCCACCTTTTGGCTGGTACAGATAATGCTGCTATGAACATGGGTGCACAAGAATCTGTTTGAGACCCTGCTTTCAATTGTTTGGGGTATATGCCCAGAGCTGGAACTGTCGGATCCTGTAGTAATTCTATTTTTAATTTTTTGAGGAAGCACCATACTGCTTTCCACCATGGCTGCACCATCTCGTGCGCCCACGAGGGCTCCAGCCGGCCTCGTCCTCGTCAACACTTGCTTCCTGTGCTTTTGATAACGGCCATCCTAATGCATGGGAGGCGACGTCTCGTTATGGTTTTGGTTCGCATTTATGTGATGTTGAGTCATGTTGAGCAGCTTCTCCCGAGCCTCTCGGCCATCTGTACGTCTTCTTCAGAGACATGTCTGCTCGAGTCCTTTTCCCCTTCTGAACTGGGTCGTTTGGGTGTTTGGGTTGTTATGTTTTAGGAGTTCTCTGTATATTGCAGATATTAACCTCCTGTCAGATATGTGATGTGCAGATATTTTCTCCCACTCTGTGGGTTGCCTTTTCACTCTGTTGATAGTGTCTTTCGATGCACAAAAGTTTTAAATTTTCATTAATTCCAGTTTGTCAGTTTTTTTGTCACCTGTGCTCTTTTGTGTGATAGCCAAGAAATCCCTGCTAAATCCAGTGCTGTAAAGAATTTGTCCTGTTTTCTTCCAAGACTTTTATTGTTTTAAGTCTTAAATTTAGGCTCTTTCTCACACTTTCTGTCATCAAGCTACCAGCATTGTTTTTGGCATTTCAAGGCTTACTTATTTATCCAGTTGTCTTGATTTTATCAAAAGAGATTCATGCAAGAAAAATGTCAAGAGTATTTATTATAGATAAATGAACATTTGACCAGCCTTTTTGGTAAGGAAACGTCAACATACAGTTTTCCTGCAATGTTAGGTAGTATGCTCTACCACAGAATATGTAAAAATGGCCTAAATACGAAAACCGTTGCCCTTTTTGTGGTGGCTGAGGCATAACGAGACAGGGAAACTGGCTGCTCAGAAATGGGAACATCTGTTTGGGTCAGTATCACAAGAGATTTCCTGAGGGCCTTCTTATCTAGCCCGCAACCTCCTCCATGTTTTGTACTGTTTCAGCAGCACCCTCCCGCTGCCGGCTCTGACCACGCAAGCCTGGTTCTCCCGTTTCCCGAGAGTCTGAGGGCCATACCTCCGCCGTGGAGCATCTTCGTGTGCGTCCTGCAGCACCCCGAGTGACTGCTGGGAGAGGTTGGGCCTGGTCGCCCGGTCACTGCGGATGAACCTCGGCAACAGCATTTCTCAGCCCTGGCAGCAGTGATGTTTCTGGTTGGATAATTCTGCGCTGGAAGGACTGTCCTGTACGTTGTGGGATCTTTAGTGGCACCCCGGCCTCTGCCCACTAGATGCCAGTGACATACCCCCGGTCCCTTGCCAGTTAGGACAACCAAAAAGGTCTCCAAAAATTAAGTGTCCCCTTGAGCGCAAAACTGCCCCTGATTGAGAACCACTGCTTTAGACAGATTATTAAGAAGCAGCTCTCCTGTACTGCAAGTCTGAGTCTGACTAGCCACTGGTAGGAGACGAGGATTCCCAGAGACCATTTTGATCTTTTCACTAGTCATTTTGATGTTTTGGCTACACAGAAATAAAACTGACAAAATTGCAGCTGCAGTGACTCATGTTTCAGTAAGTCAAAGGAAGGTTTCTATGAAATTTATTTACTTATAGAAATTTTAAGTAACAGTAATGCAGACAGATGAGGAATCGGAGATTACGTGCAAAGCTAGCTAACAGGCAGTTTAAACTCAGCAAACCCAACGTTCACCTGTTAAATGACACTGAACATGTGCCTACAGTAAGAGAGAGATGAGACGGATCCCCTTTATCTTCCAGAGAGCGCTGACTTGCCCTTAGATGGTTACTTACTATAAATAAGGCATTTGTTCTCGCAAGAGCTAGGAGTTGCTCATCAAACCCGGGCTTCTGTTGGTGTGCTCTCCTGGGTAGCAGCTGAACAGGGGCACGAGAGAGGGACTCTAACTCGTTTACCCTCGACAGTCCATCCAGTCCTGAGTGAGCAGTGAAAGGCTAACACTGCATGACATCTACAAGCCCTCACAACTCTAAGGCTCTAGCACTGTAACTGTTGGGACGAAAGAGAGAAACCAAAACATTACAGATATGTAATGATGTGCTTCTACCTAATTAGAAACCACCTTTAATCTCGGAAGATGGTTTCTTCACAGTAGGATTTGGTATCCGTGGAGGTTTTAAGTTTTAAAACTGGGATTCACTTCATTGTAGAGGACTATTCTGAGATGAAGGATACAGAAATGCTACAATTTATATGGAAGATGGTTATTGTGGAAAATATGGACAAGGGGGTTGAAATTATTGTTAATTATTTAGATACTTGTGCATGTGCACAGGAGTTGTCTATTGTATGATTTTACAATGGACGGTAAGCTACAAAAATAGTTAATACAATAATTGTTCAGTTAAAGCATCTAAGGAATAAAGTAAGCCTTCAAGGAATTCCCACTTTTCACTTTTTAAAATGTTGGTTATAGAAAAATCAGCATCACATTAAATGGTTATTGTACCAAGTAGCTGGCTTATTTAATACAGCAGTAGGACACCGTGCCAAAGATAAGCTGTCCCCCCCGCAGATATAGGACAGAGAGAGATTTAAAATGTGTACCTTCACCAAATGCAGAAAAAGTCCTGAAATCAGTCTTCAAATATGACGGGAATTTTCCAACACAATCAAAAGATGAGCTTCATGTTGATTACAAACTGGTGTTATTTGCCAGGATACAAACATTAGGTTTTCACTAGCACAGTTCAGCTACTATTTCGCTGTTATTTCTAGATCAAATGTTGAGTCAGTTAGTGCTTCACTCATGCAGGTAAAATGTTCGAATGGGCAATCTATTAAGATAAACCAATGTTAGCAACTGTCAGTCTGTTAAAGCTGGTGTCAAATTTCAAGCACAATTTACATTTTCTAAGTTTATAGGTACCAGAGCTACATGTGCCTTTGGTAACTAAATTCCTACTATGTCCCCTTGGTGGGTATCACTTATTTGCATCTCCAATATGAACTGGGACTATGATATTTGCCCACTTGTAAATAACAGGAACGAAAAGCCCAAGAGATCCAACAATTGAAACCAGAAGAAAAGTCCACAGAAACATCCGATCCAGCACCTGGGCTATGAATTTCCAGTCTTCAACAACCTGTTGCGAAAAAAGAAAGAAAAAAAACACATTAAACACATAATTTAAAATTGTGTAATTACTGTAAGATACTACACACTGAGTTAGGGGTCAGATCAGTTTGTGCCTCCCGCCGCTGCCTCACAACAGCGAGTGACCTGGTGCTCAGAGCTCTGGGACACACACAGCCTCCACAAGCTTTCAGAGACGCTACACACTCTTAATTTACACGTTGATTTGTAATATATTACAAGTGGCATATTTTGATAGATTTTTAATAGGATATACTACTTGGATATTTTTTAATAAACTAAAAAAAACTCTTTCTTATTATATAGTTATTTCTGTTACTTATTCTTGCCCAGTAGTGTTTACTTATTTTAATTTTTAAAGAGAGCCCAGCCTAAGGTTAATTAATTTCAAGCCAAATTAAAAGTTGGTTCAGAATAATACTTATTGGATAGCCCTTAATCTTCTTCCCCTCCCCACAACCTGCATTGTTTGGTTTTGGATTGGGGCCATTTTAATCTAAGTTCATGAATTCAGATCTGCTGGCGTGGACCTCATTTCATCCCGTTTTGCAGCCTAAGCAGGGAGCGAGCTCAGCAGCTCTGAGCGACCACAAAGGAAGGGCAGGTGGAGACCAGCCCCTGAGCACCAGAGGCTGCCCCTGCCTTTGTGAGGCACGCGGTCCCCTACAGGAGCTCTGCTTCCACTGTGGGATAATGTGGACTTTAGGTGGCTGTAAACACTCTACTGATGTTCTAAGTCCCCCTGAAAATAAAGTCCATTTACTGGTTCCAGGGGGGATGAGCTCTGGCCCTGTTGCACAATACTTCGCAGACATTTATTAAATTTCATCTCAATCCAAGTCATTATTTAATATCTATATGTTTTAAGACTCCATCGATAGCTTCAGACCTCATAAGCTAATCATACTAATCATGAAATAGAAACTTTACAAATCCACAAGCATTAGAAGTTTTTCAGAAATATATGTCATATGTTCCTTCTGGGGGGAGGGCTGTAATTTTACCAGAGTCACTTTGATGCTTCCCACACCTGCTAGAAATTTTTCCATTTAAAAAAGCTTTAGAAATGAGAATTCATGTAATTTTAATGGGACTATTCAAAGTAAATTCAATTAAGAAAATGCTATATTCATAGCTTTAAAAATATTACACAAGAGGGCGCCTGGGTGGCTCAGTTGGTTAAGCGACTGCCTTCGGCTCAGGTCATGATCCTGGAGTCCCGGGATCGAGTCCCATGTCGGGCCCCCTGCTGAGCAGGGAGTCTGCCTCTCCCTCTGACCCTCTTCCCTCTCGTGCTCTCTATTTCTCATTCTCTCTCTCTCAAATAAATAAAAATCTTTAAAAAAATAAAAATAAAAATATTACACAAGAGAAAGAATAGTGACACTGAAATTCGACATTTTAAAAGAAAATTCAATCTAATATCACATTAGTAGAATGTATTTATGTTCAATTATTTTAAATATTAACCTTAAATAAGAAGCCAATGAGAGTTATTTTTCTCTAATAAAGTTTTACATGAATTTTTATTTTTAAGCAAATTAAGCATATTATTAAGCACTATTACTAAACTTCACATGAACACTTGGACATATCATTTATGACACCAGAGAATACCTTACTGCTTTTAATTTCACTGATATTCTCTTGTAAATGAACAACAAAAAGACATATTCTAGAAGAGAGATCTTGGCTATACTTATAAAGCCTACATTAGGCTAATTTGTTAAAAAATAAAAGAACTTCTGATAAATGATCATGCCAAGTTGTGCCTACAGATCACCACAGAATTCAGATACAAAGTTATGGAAGATAAAACAATCACAGCAGGATTATCACTCTTGAGAATGACAGAAGTTGCCGGGAGGAATGGAGAAGTGAGGTGAGCAGAGATGCCCTGATGCAGATGTTTTAACTGAAACCAGCTTTGGTTAAAGATCTTCTACGGAGCAGCACATCAACATTTCTGGCCCTCGACCTCTGCATCATTTTGAGGGTCCTACTGTTTACTCTACCAGACTTAGAAGCAGATGTGCATCTGTAAACAACATGTCACAGACCTCACGGACATCGTTCTCCTTCATGACGTGTCTGGTGATGTAGCGGATAGAATCAAGCGCAGCTTCCAGTGGGTTTCGAGAAGACTCTGGTCTCCCAGCGCTCTCAGTCCCCTCTTTCTGAGCGAAGTACCTGTCTACATGACTTCTCATGCAGAGCAGTTTGGGAAGCTTGTGGAGAAATATCTTGCGGACCCAAGGCGCCATGGCATCATGTGTTGAGGAAGAACGGTGGTGGATGTTGATGGCGAAGACAGTGACCATGATGGACAGCGTCACAAAAATCATGGTGAACACCAGGTACTCTCCAATCAGAGGGATGACTTTGGAAGACGAGGGGATGATCTCCTCGATAACCAGCAGGAAGACAGTCAAAGAGACCAGTACTGACGTGCAGAGACAGATCTTCTCCCCTTCGTGGGAGGGGAGGTAGAAGACGAGCACGGTTAGAAACGAGAGGCCGATACAGGGAATGATAAGGAACAAGGTGTAGAAGAGAGGCAGGCGCTTGATTACAAAGGAGTATGTAACGTGCGGGTACCAACAGGAGCTATCCGTTCTGTTCCCTTTGCTCCCTGTGGCACTGACAATTTCCCATTCTCCATTGTCAAAGAAGTCTCTCTTGTCTACATCTTGGTCCTCTAAAATAATATCAACCTGGGATCCATCGTAAGTCCAAGAACCAAACTTCATGGAGCAGTTCTGGAGATCGAATGGGAAAAATGTAACGTCGATGGTACAGGAACTCTTGTAGTTTGCTGGCGGCGTCCAGGTCACCGTGCCATCATGCCTGACGACCGCTTTCGTGCTGGCCCCCTCGAAACGCCCATCCGCACTGAAATAGACACAGGCACGTGACAATGAGAGACGAGACAGCCCAAGCCCGCACTTCACGAGCCTGCTGTGAAAGAAAGCCCACGCCAAAGCATGAGACACTTTGTAGGTGATTATGTGTGAGATACAGGGACTCTGTTCTAAGGCCATCTTCCTTAAATACAGAACCCTCCTAGAACCGAACTCCTTCCACATCCTCTCTAAGACTAACTATTTCACAGCTTCCTGACATTTTAGAGGTTGAAAGAGTTCACCTTACTTGTGAAATATAACTAGACTATTTGAACAATCAGAGAGTAGCCAGAGCCTGAATCCATGTTCCTAGACTCCCCAAACAGTGCTCTTCCCCTCCATCATAAACACTGGACGCCTGCTACCTGTGCCTCTCAAGCTCTGCTGCTCCATGAGCGCACACCCTGTATTAGTCGACCAACATAAGCTTTCTTGGAAATACTGGTTTCTTTTATCTTAAAACTCATGTGACTTTTTTGCTAGACTCATGCTAATGGAAGCATGTTTTCAGCAGCCTGGAGAAACATGACGCTCCAGGGAGCTGTGTCCTGCAACCTTACAGCTTGTTCCCTCTTCACCTACAGAGAAGCATGCAGGGAAAAGGTGTTTAAACACTAATGTTTTTGCATAGCATTTGCTCTGTCTTCATGCCAAATGCCTTCTTGCAAATACTACAGAGTGCTTTAGGAGAAGCACAAATTCCCAGATTTGCCATGGGGCGGTCCTATAAAACCTGAAACTCGATCCCAGAATTATCCTTTCCCCAAGTGAAAAACCATCCTCAAAACACATCTAGGTAGGATGCCTATGAAGATGAGCTGACTCTACACTCCTCATCATGGGATAATTCCAATACATTATTTAAACAAAATTAGAAGCAAAATTTATTTGAACATAAAGTAGGATTTCAACTATTTTTTAAAATATACCCCCCAGGGGCACCTGGGTGGCTCAGTCATTAAGTGTCTGCCTTTGGCTCAGGTCATGATCCCAGGGTCCTGGGATCGAGCCCCGTATCGGGCTCCCTGCTTGGTAAGCCTGCTTCTCCCTCTCCCTCTGCTGCTCCCCCTGCTTGTGCTCTCTCTCTCGCTCGCTCGCTGTCTCTCTGTCTGTCAAATAAATAAATAAAATCTTTTCAAAAAATACCCACCAAATCTAGGAGGCAATCTGCCAAATATGTAGTCTAGTAAATCGGAGGGTAAGTAGGACATCAGGCTGCCTTGTGCAAAACCCACCCTGCCACAGGGAAGCTGTGTGATTGTGGACGAGGTTATAACATCGTCACCCGTTCATCTGTCAACAATGCTACCTGAACAATAGTGGGAATCGAATAACGCATAGAGGCACGGACCACACGGCCAGACACAGAGTGAGTCCTCTGTGCATGTCAGCTACTGTGCACGTTGCCTCCAAGTGCAGGGACAATGGGATTGATTATAGGTGACCCCCCAACTTCCTTACACTTTCTGGACTTCCGAGATGTTCTACAAGTCTTAAAAATCAAAGAACACTTTTATGACCAGGAAACAATGCACCAAGAAAAGAGAGGATCCATAGAACCTATGTGTAGGTTCACAAAAAACACACGATCAAGTCATTTGATCTTAGAGCTAAACAATGTTCCAAAGGAAGAAAAAAGTACTACTGCCTAATAAAAATGCAAGCATTTTCTTTTGAAAACACAAAGTGGCATTTAGAACATAACTTACTTATCAAACAAAACGATGTCTGGAGTCCAGAGAGAGTCTGAAGGGACACGTATAACTTTGATTCCTCCATAGTCCTCAGGATGCCATCTTAATTTCACATCTGTCCACTCCTTCAGAACAAAGACAACGGCCTCAATTGCCAATTGCAATGACATTGATAGTCAAGAATAGCAAAAGCTATACTTTTTACCATATCCAAAAGTTCTAGATATAAGAGCATCTCTGCTTGCCATAGAGAAAACTCAGCTCCATGTCTTTCTTAAGAGCATGAGAGCGCAGCCCTGTCCCCTAGCCCCAGCCCCGGTCTTCATGCGACACAGGTGAGGACTGTGTTCTGCTCAGCACCTCTTCCCCCACCAACGACCACGCCCGGGGGCTGCAGCCATGGGCATGTACAGACCAGGTTTAGGCAGACGTTCTCTTTTCCAGCTGTATTGTCATTGGCTGGACTGGTCCATGCAGGGGAACCGGATTTATTACACACTCCACGATGTAAGCACCTGTCCAACCTCCACGCGGTGACATTCTGGGATCATGTTAAGACTTGAACCCCCAAAAAAGGATGCAGGCCTTTTAGGAGTTGGGGTCAGGGAAGTGGTAGTAGGTATTAAAATTCAGCATAATAAAGAAAGAGCAACTGAGGACATAGGTCTGATGACCCAGAAGACAAAGAAGTCCTTCATACGAAAGGGGCTCCGCACGTAAGAACAATTATCCCCCGTTCCCATCTCACTCCGAGTAACACCATCCCCCGTTCCCATCTCACTCCGAGTAACACCATCCCCCGTTCCCATCTCACTCCAAGTAAACACCACAATCCTGGCAGCGGCCCAGGCGTTTGCTAAACCCCTGGCCTCCCACTGCTTCTCTGACCCCCTCCACACACCCCTTCCTCCCCATGGTTCACTCACCCCTACCCACACTGGCCTGCTTGCTCCTCCTTTGTATGTGCTGGTCCCTCTTTGCCTGGATCACATCTCCCCAGATACTCACATGGCTTGTTTCTTCTCCTCCAAGCCTCGCTCAAACATTACCTTCTCGCGATGCTTTCCCCACCCATCCTATTTAAAAGTACATCCCCGATACTCCCGTACCCTTGCCCCTGGTGAAGCTTGTCAGTGTTCGAGGCACAATACAGCTTCCTTGTTTCTTTCCCCTGACTAGAAAGAAGGTCCCTGATGGCCAGGACTTCTGCCCATTTTGTTCACTACTGTTTCCCCGGTGCCCAGCAGCCGCTCCACAAGAACCCCATCAACCCCCACCCTCCCACATCCTGCCCACCCACCGACACCCCCTGCTCGTGTTTCTCTGTGCTGCAAACCCTCCATTCACAGCACCTGGGATCACTTGGGTGACCTTTTGCATTTCATACACACCTGTTTCAACCAGACATTCGTTGTCATTAACTGATTTTTCTCATCCTATAAAACAAAAACGTAAATAAAGCTGATTATTTCAAGTACAGAAACAATAATTCTTGAAATAATAAGAATTTTCACAGTTTTTTACAAACACTCCTGTCTGTACAGTCCCTATATCCTGCTCATCGATGCCGTTCTCTAGAAGGGCAGGATCATTTTTCCAGCCTAATTTCACGTTATTCCCTTCAATGTGCTCTGTATTTCAGATAAACTGCCATGGAGTACACCGTTGGCATTTTAGATTTAACACTCACAGGCTCAACTACTCTATGTCCTCAAACCTGAGACACAGTCTAAGAAATAGGCACAGCATGATTTTACCTACTTAGCACTAAGAAAGGAAAAAGCTGACAATGAATTGTAAGTCACCATTAATGATAAAACACATGGTGATTTTGAAAGTGCTGCGATGTGGGGAAGGGTAGTTATGTCTCCCTGAGCACAGATCTGAATCTGACGAGCTGCTACGAAGAAAAATTACTGAGGTCGCTGCCGTGAGTGCAGCCTCATAAGCTTTCACAGCCTGCTTTCCTAGAGAACTGGGGTCTTTGATACTTGCCACTCACATCTCTCACATCTCCCTGATGTTATTTCTTTGCTGAGACCAGCTTTTCACTGAATTCTCAAGGGCCAATTAAAGTGACATTTCTTCCACTACATTTTGCTGAAATATCATGGAGCCGACTGGACCTGTACAAGACCATCGTGACCACCAACCACAGTGTGCGGGATATAACGCTAAGCGCAGAGACCCACAGAAGTAGGGGGGCCATCCCTACGCTGGGGAGAGACGACGTGGTTTTAAATGGCTTAGGTGCCTGGAGGGGACTCTTTCCAACAGCAGGTGAGTGGCCCGGGAGAGAGGAGGACAGAGGAGGCCCCTCCCTTGGGACAAAGACAGCGGCGAAGTCCCTCCATGGGAAAAATTACTGGGAAATACAGCAAGGCCATCCCTCCTACACTCCGGTTCCAAAGAGCAATTGTCCTTGATTAAAGCACTCGAGCCGGAAAGGACCTAGAGATTTTTTCTACTGAAATCCACTCATTCTGCAAATATAGAAACTAGCCCAATGAGGCCACTTGCCTAAACACCACCAACTGGTGGGAGAACCGATGTTAGAATTCAAAGCTCCTGAGTTTAAACCCTACTCTGCCGGCTCCACTGTCTGCCCCAAAGTCATGCAGCATCCACAGTAAGTGCTGGTCTCTGCACCAAATGCTCTAAACAGAAACATTAACAATGAAGAAAGTTCTGGTAAACCTATTACCTACGACGCTATAAGGCAGTAGGTCCTCTTTGAGAATATAATGAAACTTATAGACATTTTCCCCAGAAAAATATGAACACACATAAAGTTTGCACTATGGGCTAGGACCCAATCAACACTTCGTATCTTCAATGCAGATAGAGGAATAATACCTAAGTTCACAACTGGCCCCAAATGTGGGGGTACAGCCCAACTTAAGGTCACCCCTAAGGTGTCTCCCAAGCATCTCTCATGTGTTCAGCACAACTCAGGATGCAACAGACGCAAACCCCGAGCAAGGACAAATGCAGGACTGCACCAGGAGGCAAGAGCCGGTTAGCAGAGAAACAACTACACGTAAGTGGAGCAGACAATAGTTTCTTTAACCTGACCGTAAAATTAGCAACCAACAAGCAAGCCAATGTGGAGATTTAAGAGAGTGAGCGAGCGAGAACACATGGGAAAGAAGGCAGGAATCTGAGGGAACTTCCAGGAGGAGCCCCCAAACATGACCACAGACCGAGGGGGACAGAGCTTAGCGATGACAGGGACATCTGTTCTCTGTGCGCTCACCTCACCTCCCCCGGCTCCTGTCCTCCTTCCCTCTTGTCGCCACCACTGACCTTGTGTTCTGGGCTCTTCTCTCAGGAAACAACCCTTCGCCAACTTCCCTGCTTGGCTCACCCTTCCTTCTACCACCTCCTACAGATGTTCCTCGAGGATGGACCTTCCTGCTTCCCCTGCTTGCTTGAAAACTCCTCAGTCCCACATTTTCAACACTCGGCCCTGGGCCAGGCTGTCCACGCTGACATCCTTAGCCTCCTCTCTCGTCATGGAGCCGGGCTTGATTTCCCAAGGCCCTTGGGAACATTTTCTTTTCCATGTACCACAGGCACCTGCTATCACAGTGGAACACATCATCTCCTCTGCCCTACTCCATAGCGATGGATTTAACCTTTCAGACCCATTCCTCTTCTCTTGTAACCGCTCGGGCTTCAGAACCTGGCACGTCCCACTCTACTCAGTGCTCAAGTCCTGCTACTCCTTCTACCTGGCCTCTACCTGGCCTATCAAGCTTCTCATTTCTTTCACTCAAGACCGTGTATTTATCCGTCCTACGGCTCTTCCCAAAGCACC